GATGCTCATCGTCAAGGGACAATACTAAATCATTAGGGTATGCATAAGTCACCCTACAGGGATATCGAGGAAACCTAATAGCAGGTGAGTAACGCACACGAGCTCCTCCATCAAGCGCTCGATGGTAAATATGTCTAAGAGGCTTCACGTGGCCATTAGCATGACCATTACCATTCGCAGCATGTCCTCCATTTCCATTCTCCATCCCTGCAAAACAACCATAATTTTCAGGTTAGAAACTTAAAGTCACTAACTCACTCGAACATCACTTAAAGTATAACTAAGCTATCTCATTCCTAATTTCCAGAGTAAAGTCTCTAATATCTCCCATACAAATCTCTAACCTAGCGCTCTGATACTAACTGTGACGCCCCTACTTCTCCCAAGGGCAAACTCAAGGGTATCGGCGGGATGCCTGCCCAACTCTCGCCAGGACTCGATACCATTCCAATCCAACTTAAGGTAAATAACCAAAATAATAAAAGTCGAGCTGGAAAACATAGTCGCTTCCATACATAAGTGTTCAATCTTACATCACAAGTTTTCAAAATATATCAATTTTTCCCCAAAATGTACACTTCCAAAAGTCATCTAATCAGTACATCCAAAATTCTAATAAAACATGCTATCATGTAGGCTTCTCCATAAATCCTTCCATTTCAGCTCCTGTTAAGGAAAACAAATCTAACGGGGTGAGCGGGCGCTCGTGAGGCCAAGAAAACATGCAAAACACGTAGTTCAAATAACAATAGCACTTAAACAAGAATGAAAGCTATAACATTCAAGTAGTTCACAATTAACAATAACACATATTTGATAAGAATATGGGAGCTCTCAGGAGCTATGTTCAACTTGCTCAATCCAATACCTCCATGAGTTGACACTCCGTCAATCGAGTAGGTTATAAGTCCATAGAACTTCACTTACACTTCCCCGTTCACCGCTACACCCCTACTCCGGGCCCGCACTTCTTTTATGTAAGGCGATACTACTCGAATATGCCAAACGAGATCTCTCAAATAGATCAAGTTTATACACTTTTTTTTCATTGCTCACCAAGCTTCTCGACCAAGCCTATACCGGCTTGAGTCGCAAGGTCGGCCGATGAGTTTGGGTGTCCCCCACTATTATCAATTTAAGTCGAGGAGATTCACTCCAATCGACATATGCAACCATAGTATAATTCACTTTTGCAACATTTCACTTAATTCGCTTAGCAATTCAATACATTTCACTTAAACGAGGATGAGTGTGATAAAGTACACATTCAACTCAATACATTCAATCAATGAGAACAATTAAGCACGTAACAACATTTCATACACTTGACACTTACCAAGTCAAAACAAGAGTGAGTGAGCGAGCAATTAAGTTTTTAAGCGTCCGCTTCGAAATTCTCTTGAAGATCTCCTTGAGCGCCTGGACAAATAACGAGTACTTTCACTCACAATCACGTATTAACCAAGAAAGAAGGTACACTTATTTAGGCTAGTCAATACCTCAAAAGAGAACTTTAATCACTCAAAAATCGAGGTTCAAAAGTGAGGATTTTATAACACAAGAGAAACTGATTTCCTTCATAAAATCGAGTTTAAAATGATCAATCATTATCAAATATTAGGGAAAAATTTCCAAAAACTCATTTCCCATCAAGTCGGAAAATTTCAGTTTTGCACGTCAAATTTAGAAAAATCAGAACTTGCACTCAGTAGGTCCAAAATTGGAAAACTTTATACCGTTGGAATCTTGGTTCGGAGGACTAAAAGTTCCTAGAAGACACTTTTCCAAATTCTAAATGGAAGGTATTCAATTTTCAACTCAAAGTGACTGTTCTGAAAAAGCAAGGCAGTTTCAGTCATGTTTTTCGGCAATCTTTAGAAATTCGGTAAAATTCACAGAAAGTGAACTAGCCTTTGAAATTCGTAACACATTACGACTTCCTAACAAAGTTTCAAACTAGACAAATGGAACTAAATTTAGAGTTTTGAGTATCAAGATATAGCAGTTCAAAGTCGGTAACTTTAACCACTAGAACAGTGAAATTTCCAGATTTGACAAGCAGTTTTTGGAACATCATTTGGGTATCAAAATAGTCTTAGAATTATACCAAATTCGGTACACTGAAGCTCCCATATGAGAACTACTTCTCTGTCAAATTTCACCCAAAAAATCCCACGAAAAGATAGTTAACGAAACAACCAAAGTTCAGAAAATATTTCAAAGCAAATCTGTCTTCTTGCTTTCCTTTCTTTTTCCAAACATTTTGCACAATGAAATCAGGCCAAATTCAATTCATTTTTTGCACCAGGGTCCTAGAAACCTTTAATAAATACATTATGGTTGATTGATATCAAAATTTTCGAAATAAAACATCCCACAACAAAATAGACTAGTCGGCCAGCATGAAGGAAAAGCTTTCCAGTTTTCCCACTTTATTGCACTTTCAAAATCAGGCCATATCTCACTCAATACAAGTTCAAATTACTAATGGCTGGTGGCATTGGAAACTAGGTTCAAAATTCCACATTTCATCACAAGAAAACATTTCCAAAATAAGTTCTCAAGCCACAAGTTGAAGCTTCTCATGTCCTCTCGGACAGATATTCATAACAGGGCAGCAAACTTTGCCGAATCACTACGGATGACTCAAAATGAACTAGCAAGTGATTTTTATACTGTTAGAAAGCTACGGATATCTAGTTTTGAATGCCACTAATGACACTAAATTTTGACTTATACAGAGAGATATGTTGAAACAAAGTGGTACTGTTTGGGCTGCCAGATTACCATTTCCAGTTTTCTTTCAATTTCGAAAATCCAAGTTTTACTCAACCAAATCAAATGATTTTTGGTAGACACTTTCTACACACAATATACAACATATATCAACCAATTTCACAGCAAAAAAAGTACCAAAAATTCAAAATAATCACTAAGCAACAAGGACAGATTTTCAGCCAGCTCTAGTGCACCACTTTCTTTCGATTTTTCCTTCACTTTCTAACCCTATTCACCTCAAGTAACACATAAACGACCACAATCAACTAATTACACCTCAAGCCAGCTACCTATAGGCATCACCAAGATCGCTAGCCTAACAATTAAAGTAAGAAAATAGATTTCCTCAAGTCCTCTACCTAGTTTCATGCTTAGGGTTCAAACCCTTGCAAATCCAACCGTAAATCTTGTATTAAAGTGAGAGATTAGAAGAGTTGATGGGTTTACCTCTAACCCTTGTAGAAACCAGAATTTTTCACCACTAAACTTCCAAGAAATCCCCCAAGATGAAGCCTTCCTCCAAGCTGAAGTTAATCTCCAAGTGATATGTGAGTTGGGTGGTGATTTGTGAAGGAAATGGAAGCAAGATGAAGTGAGATGGAGTGAAGCTTTTCTCTTCTTTCCCTTGCCATTTTCGGCTGAACTATGGAGTGAGGAGAGAGAGTGTTTTGTGTTGTGAAGCTTCCAAATTCCTTTGGAAGCTTAAGGAATTTGTGGGCAAAATTTGTGCAAAAGTCGACTAGGAATAGTGCGCGTATGATGTCCTTAACTACCACTTTTTTTCTCTTGTTTGTTGCACTAGTGCACTAATCTTCAAATGAAATTCCCTTGACACTACAATTATTCACTCTTAGTAGTCTAATATAAATTTCTTAAATCTCTACTTAGTCATTTTGACGCGAAATATACGAACTTCCGATTCGCGTGCGATAAGGGGAAACTTTAAAGGAATTCATATAATGATAATATAATTAACCAATACTAAGGCAAATAATTATAAAAATAATTGTTTTAAGAATAAAACATGAGTCCTCACAATTTGAGTGAATCTTCAATAATTATCAAGTTCAATTGGCTCTATATGAATTGCATACACACCTTAACGTAATAATCTAGTCATGCATGTGAGGACCCCAAAAATATATATATAAACCTGTGCATATTTCATTTGCATTTTCTTTAATTCTTTAATAATTTCTAGCATTACTTTCACCTGTTTCCAAATAAGTTCGTAAAAACACTTTTCATGTGAGAAATAATTTTCCTAAGTTATGAAATTTCTTGGTTTTGTTAGACTAAATTAAAATCTTTGGAGTTAGAATAATTTATCGCCTTAACACAAAATGCTAAAATACTTAGTCTTCTCTATGTTAAAATTAATACTACCTGAGTAGATTAATTATATAAAATTTCTTGAATTTCAATAATTAATTCCAATTAGTTGCTAACATTAAATGTTAATAAGAATTTCCGCGTTAAAATGAAAACCAATGAATTTTAGATAAATATGATTCTAATATACTAAACATACTTAATGTGTAAAAATTCAATAAATATATCCTTATCTTTCTTTGTTTTCAAATAAGTGAGTAAAAATAATTTATACGTGCAAATTGACACCATTGGATTAAATAATTATTTCACTTGCCTTTATATCACTAAATCGATAAATTTCGCGTTAGGCTAACGCTAATTCTTGAGAAATAATAATTGGAAATACTTATAACTAATTTAATCGCTAAATAATATAAGAGTTTCTAGGAACCTTAATATTCACGTTTAATCAATAATTGCTCGATAAAAAAATGGTTTAGGTATATTAGGGTATTGTTAGGCGTTTGAATTGCACTTGGAGATAATTTTTAGAATTAAGTCGGATGCGAGAAATTAAGTTGAGTTTAGGAAGCAAAGTGAAAGACTAAAATACCCTTACCTTTCCATGCAAACCAAACAAGACGTCTGACACAAATCAAATCACAATTACTATTAACCATTTCGATACGCAATCCATTTTCACACGTAAACCACTCTCACAAACTACGGCACCACCATACGTCCAATCTATTTCACGGCTTAAGACCACAGATTCATTTCATTCTCTGCATCATCTCATTTCTATTGACCAATCACAACCTCACCAATTCAGTACCGCCCCAATTGACCAATCAAAACCTCACCAATTCTATACGTAAACCAACTTCCACACTCAACCATCTCCTAAACCACGGCACCCTCTTCATTTCTTTTCCACTTCACATTTCAAACCACAACTACATTTCACTCTGCCTTACCATTGTCGACAAAGGGAGAGAGTGAGGGAGAGTCGCACTTCACGATCGAGGGAAGAAGCCGCGAGCTGCAACCATTTCTGGTTCTGTCCGAGCTAGAGGATAGAGAGGGGAGGGCAAGTGGAAGTCGGCGAAGCTGCTGATCATCACCATCTTCGTTCGTTCCAGACCAACATTTCCCAGTTGCAACCATCTTGACCACAACACCATTTCCAGCTGCAAACCGAGCACAGGACCAACCAGTGTGTGTGAGAGCCGAGAGGGAGCAGAAATTTTTCAGATTTTCATGTGTGAGCTTAGCTTGCTTTGAGGTAAATTTTTTGGAATAAAATTGTGGATGATCAGAGGTATTTTAAGTCAGCCGTGGCCTTGCATGTGTTAATTTGTGTAATCAGATGATGAAACCCAAAGCAGTAGAAAATTCTGTTGGGCAAAACATTTCTGCCGAGGAACTGATTTGGGAAATGTAGATTTAATTCTGTCTCTTTGTAGTAGTGTGAGCTGATAGATGCGTTTAGCTAATTAAGATCAAGGTAATTAAGCTCTGCATGCAGCCCCTTGGATCGGTTATGCTAGAAAAATAAGAATGAAAAACAATCTGGCCGCATGCAAGGTCATCCGAAGGTAGCAAACAGAATTTCTGGTTTTCTTGGATGGTTATGGCTGTTGTTTGAATCCGATTTTGAACTAGAAATATTGATTAGCTAGTTAAGTATTTGCATGTTAAATTTTAGCACCTAATACCATGAATTAACCAAAGGAAAAGTTGGATTTATGACCAATCTAATTGCTGGAAATCTGTTGAGTTGGCCGAGAGAGGGAAAGAAAGAATTTCCAGTTTTTCTCTTCAAATCTTGGCTGCAAATTTCGTATTGTAGTTCAATATACTCATAACACAATAATCACCGTATGCATGCTGAGTTTGAGTGAACAAAGTAATGAATTTTGTTAGGGAAAGGTTCGTATACCAAACTATCTATTTGCTGCAATTTTTCCAGCTTAGCCGATGGTGGCTCTTTTGAGTTTTAATGGAAACTTGGTGAGTGGGCTCTATGAATTCCCACAATGACTTGGATGATCTGATTAGCTAGTCAAGTATTTGCTTGTCGGATTTGAGTACTTAATATCATGTATTAGCCGAGTAAAAAGTTGGTTTTATGACCAATTAGCTGCTGGAAATTCTGTTTAGCCGATGACAGATTTATTGTGGTGGAATTATTTGCCAAAATTACATGTTATTTGTTTTATTTCGTGTCGGAAAATTTTGATGGTGGGCTCTATGAACTTCCACCCTTGGATTGATGATGGATATAATGCTAGTTTAGTGTTTAAATAGGTAGATTAATGATACCTAGCTAGTCTAGACTCCAAAAGATGCATCGTTCAAAAATGTTCAGATTTGCCCTGTTTTAATCGCAACCCTTTTTGCAAAATTTTGAGAGTTTCATGACTTGTATATCATGTTGATATGTTGAATATATGGTGTACAAAGTTTCATTGAAAAATATCGAGGTTTGGTTGGTCAAATAAATCGATTTAACAAAGCTAGTAAATCTGGAACTATTTCCGAAATGCTCTGACCAGCTTTCGTATTTCGGCCATAATTTTGAACTCCGATGTCGAAATCGAGTGCCGTCAGTGGCATTTGAAACTAGATATTCCAACCTTTCCGACGATATAAAATTCACATTCTGGTTCCATGTATGTGAGCCAAACCAACTATTTTAAGTCGGCTGTTCTGTTTCTCTGCTTTACAAGAACAAAATGCTGAGGCTGTAACTTGTGACTCGAATTCGAGCTAGTTGTGTGCCGAATTTCAAAATGATTTCTTCTGTGAAATTATAGCTCTATGAAGGTGTTTTCCAACACCTTAAACCATGCCAAATTCCAAGCTAATTTGAGTGATCTGTGATCAAAATATGAAACCTGCTCTGTCCTTGAAAACCCTGATTTTTTAGACAGATTTGATGCAAGGTTTGGCAAAGACTTGCTAACTGAATATTTTGATGCTAAACACTTACCAAATGCACCATGAACGTTCTTTAAGTTTTGCCTAAACAAATGAACCAGGTTTGGAGGAATTTTCTTTGACCAAATGTCTGAAATGGAAAAACAAAAGGTTCAAGGCAGTTTTGTCTTAGTATTTGCGAAATTTTAGGTGTTTGATTGACCACCTTTCCGAAGTTATTTTTCCATGAAATTTGGTAGAGGAACAACCCTTATATGGTAGTATTATACTGCTAATTATGGTGTTATTCCGAGACCGATTCATGGGTCAAATAAATTACCAAAGTTCGAGACTTGATTTTGGAAAACCCTTGTTTAACAAGAAAATTTTAGTAACTTTGAGCTACCGTATCTTGGTGCTCAAAACTCCGTTCCTCATTCCGTTTGTTTTGTTATACTCTTGAATTACAACACTAATAGAGTTGCAAATTTCAAAAGCTATTTCCAAACAAGTGAATTTTTCCGAATTTCCAAAGTTGGCCAAAAACTAACTTAAATCTGCCTTATGAACCAAAACAGTAACTTTGAGCCCATTTTGACTATCTTCCATTTAGAATCATGAAAAAGTGTATTCTAGGAACTTTTAGCATTTTGAAGGAAGTTTCCAACGGTAGCAAGTTTTCCAATCTTTGACATGTAAAAGGTGAGCTACGATTTTTCAAAGTATTGCATCAAAACTGAAATTTTCCGTATTCCAAGGAAATGGAGTTTTTCAAGTACTCCTTATTCCTTCGATAATATTCAAATGTCTTATCCTTGAATTTCATGATGTAGACTTAATTTCTCTTGTACCTTGAAACCCCGCTTGAGAATTTAGATTTAGGATAATTAAGACTTGTTCACGAGATTTTTCCTAAATTTGTACTATGACACGATTTTCAACAATAGTAGGAATTGTAAATGATAGACTATTATTATTCGTTCAGGCGCACGCGAGGACCTTTAAGAGGATCCGACAGAGGACGCTTGAACTTCAAATTGAACCTATTGCCCTTGTTTGACTAGGTGAGTGTTCCATATAGGAATACGTAATTGAGTAAGTCTAGGACATGCTCATTTCATGATCGTTAAGTATTTACCATACTCGTGCCTATTTAAGAAATATATATATGCATTGCATATCGACATGAATTGGTTAAATGATTAACCCTATCAAATAATCTTGTAAACTCAATATGTGCTTAGCCTGCTTATTTTATGCTTATTCGGTTAAAGTGCTCTTGTAACTCGTTATGTGACAATTTGGAAAATGAGTTCCGATCCATCGAAGTGCGCAGTGTGTACTTTATCACACTAGCCGTTCGAGTGGTGAAGTGTGTGAAATATTTTCTAATGAATCTGTGAATCTAAATGTGGTTGCGTCGTTGGGTGAATCCCTCGACTCGTGAATCAACTACCATAACTAATGAATCTGTGAATCTAAATGTGGTTGCGTCGTTGGGGTGAATCTCCTCGACTCTTACGTGGTAAAAGTGCAAAACGGCCAATGGCGGCCTATTAAAATGACATATGTCTACCAATTAACCGTAATTACCACCGTTTACCGTTTACCGTTTACTGTTTATCGTTTACCATTTATCGTGTTTACTTACCGTTTTCTAATATATGTGGTTACTGATTTCTTGATTATCATAAATTATATGCTCATATGAAGTTGTCCATCATTGTTAGGCGAGTGTGTACTTTACCTCCCTCGACCTATTCAAATGATGAATTTTACTTTTGTCGAATTACTTTGTTACCTGTGCATGTTGTAAGCTATAAGCTGAACTTGGTCCCCGCCTCGGTTACTGACCTACTCGAGCCAGGACTGGGCTCGGTCGGGTAGGTTGGAACCCTGGACAACCGTTTCGGTATACTCGAGTATTACCACTGGAGGGATAAGGTGATGGCCAGTCAACCGTGGGGATCCGAGAGTTATAAGGTGCAGATGACCGACAAATTTTCACTGGAACACCGTATCCTTTTGTGGTTGCTTTGCTATTATAATGTTATTACTCTCCTAGTTGGCATTCTCGGGTAAGACTCCTCATGAGCATTAACCTCTGAGATGAAGCAATCCTTGTAATGTTCTTCTAGTCGGACGAGCCACTATTTGTTTGACTGAAAATTTATGAAAATATGTTTATATGGCCATTCATTCCAAAAGTACTAGTTCTACATGTGTTTTCAAAGTAGCAATTATCCGTGTAATGATTATCACCTCATGGTAACATGCCATTGTGTAACCTCGAATCATGCATATGATATGCACAACTTACTTGACCTATTTTGAACTGTTAGAGCGTCTTGGAACCTCACTGGGCTGTGTAGCTCATCCCACGTTGTGGTTTTCTTTTACAGGTTCTGACAACTGAGGAAGACTTGAGATCTACTTGTACTTTAAGCATGTAGTTTGAATTAAACAATGTAGCTTTTGTTTCGGGTTACCACTTGAAGCTGGAAAAGTGTAACCCTTGAATTTGTATGTGGCTTGTATGAAATTTGTTACTTGGCTTATAAGGATGTATTTGAATTATATGTTTTGTTTCTAGGGTTGTAATCGGGAAGGTATTTTAAGAATCGACGTTGGCTATCTTAAGGCATTGTTATCTCTGAAGTTAATGTGATTCTAGAAACCGGCCTATTTGGAGGGAAACGATGTTGTAATAGATTAGGTTATACTTCGGAAGGACTTTTGCTAGTTGCTTGTGTGAGTCCTGGCGAGAGTTGGGCAGACGGCCCACCAACCCCTCTGGTTCGCCTTAGGGGGAAGTGGGGTCGCCACAATGCATGTGTTTTTTGACTAATAAAAAACTAGAATTATGGGACAAGAAAGTGCATTAAAATTATCTACTTTTGAACTTGAATGATTAGAAAAGGGGAACTGGAGTTAAATTGATTCCTCACATCTAAATAGATCCAATTCAAGAAGATTAAGTGCTAAGATTTTAGGTATCTAAAACTAGAGATGTATGAATTAATTAGACCCTTTTGAGCCAAATGGAATGATTGAGGATTTCAAACTAATTTCTAAACTTTCTATGGAAAGTTTGGCCAAACTTTGAACTAAGAACAACCTATTAGATATAATGGTAAAATGCAAGTTGGATAGAGTGTATGTTGAGTTATGGTGTTTTAAGCAAGAAAAGATGAAATTTTGTTAAAATTTTGAGGTAATGTTGTTGGAAAACTGTTTTGTTGGCCAAGAGAGTGAGGAGATGAAGTTCTTATGTTATTTTCGAAAATTCCAGGATAATTGGTTATTAATTTTGTATAAAACGTCTTATAACACTTTGGCCCTATTTATACCTAATTATTTAGTAATTTTGATATTTGGGAAATAGTAAACTATGAGAAAAGTTAAGCTTCAACCTAATTGAAAGCTGATTTGGCCGAGAAGAAAATAGCAAATGAGTGATGATGAATAAAAGTTTTATTAGCTATAACTTTAAAAGTTTGGATAGAGAATGATACAAACTTAGCTCAAACACCTTATGAGACCTTAAATTTGATATGTATGTATATTTTCCATTATTTTGAGCTAACAACCTTGATAAATCTCAAAGAAAGATATAAGAAGGATTGTTGGAATTTTGTATCTTGTTTTATAAGTTAAGAAACTAAGTTTCTAGTAAATTAAATCTTAATTTGATGGATGATAGTGATCATATATGAATTGATAAAAGGGCTAAAGTGTACTTAATCGCTTCTGCCTTAATGATTTGAAATGGATATCATGGTGAATGAAGATTGGATTGTGCATGAATGATTATAGGCTGCAGTGTACTTTATCACTTCGGCCGAATTGGACCCTAAGCCTTGGTAAGTTGATCTAGTCGAGCCAGTAACGGATTTGGTCGATTAAGTTGGCTGCCTTGAGCAATTGAATGGTATGCTCAAGTATTCTGGAAGAGTGGAGATTAATGAACTGCTTATTGAATATCTGGGATTGTTTATTGTTTTGGAGGTTATAAGGGGAAAGAATGGTGGAGTGAGAAGAAGTTGTATCCTTTTAATTGAATGTTTACTCTATTGAATTGTTCTCCTAATTGGTTATGTTGAAGGAATGTCTTATATTCTTATTTGGTTTTACACTTTTGAACCTCACTAAGCTTTTGCTCAACCTTTTAGTTTTGTTTTCCTTACAAGAGTTGAAGTTTGAAGAATGAACAAGTTGGGTTAGAATGTTTTGGAAGGTCCATTATTGTATATATATCTCTGTTAAGATTTACTTTTGTATTTTGTAATGGACAAAGCTTTTGTCTTACTAGTTGGAGAAGTATTAAGAATGAATGTTTTGGATGTTTACTGAGAAATGTTATCTCTGAAATTAATGTAAGTGAGTGAACCTTGGGGAGAGCAAGGCAGGCGGTCCGCCAACTCCTAGGATATGCCCTTGGGGAAGCTAGGGTCGTCTCAGATGGTATCAAAGGGAATCTCGAGTAGTCTCTGTGTTGGGTAAGATTGAGTTAAGTGGTGTTATGGTCCCAATTACATAAATGAGTGCAAAGGACTAAGTACTTTTATTGAGCATAAGCTAGGAAAGGATTATTGAGCCATGAATGTAAGTATATTAGGTGTAAAAACTTTATCATGATGCTCGGGGAAATTAGAATTGTATGTCGGGTAAGAATTCTAAATATGGTTGATTTACTCTTGGGACCGGCTAGCTTGAGTTGTGAATTATCTTATTTTTGGATTTCTTGAACCCAAGTACCAGATATTTCATTCAATGGTATATTTGCAAATTGGAAAGGATTTAGTATATTGCATTATTATGTGACTAGAAATTATGATTAAATTTGGGGAAGTAGAATCGAAGAGACCGAGGCTAGCCTTTGAGAGCTAAGGGTGAAGAGGCAGTAGTGAGATCTTGAAGATTAGTGCAAATGCTCCATCTTAAGGTGAATACTTTACTAGCCTTTTGATAGTAAATGGATTATATACCATCTCTTGCCTAAAAATGTGGTTTCCAGACCTAAAATTTAAGTAAAATAGTAATTTAAATGTGAATAGCTTTAATTCATGAGAAGAGTTTTCAACTTGGGGTGAGACAAGTTTGGCAAATTTGCCACGTGATTAGTATGATACCATGTCAGGATTCACAAAATTCATTTATTTTAAAAACCCTATTTCAAGCTTATTTAATCATGTAATTGTCCATTTATTCTGAATATCATTTTCTAGCCCTATTGAACTTAATTACATGGAAGTATAGCTTCAAAATATTTTTAAAGTGACTCGTTTCAAAAAAAAATTAATTTCCGAAAACGCGTTTAGTGAAATTAGTGAAAAAGTATTTGGAAATTTTAACCGTTGGAGAGTACAATAAGTTTTGAACATTGAGACTTGTACTATGGACCTAAATTAGGTATTTTAAAGTTTAAGTACTCAAGTGATAGTTAGTAGTACTATCGTTATAAGAATTTCTTAGAAATTTCACTTTATCGCGCTTAAATTGAAAATTCGCATTTTGCGCGTGCGGTTAATTGGAAGACTATAGACCTTCATTTTATATCTTTAAGAGTGGATAATAATAGTATGAATATAAGTATATTGGAGGTTTAGTGTACTAGTGAAATGAACGCGAGAGGAATTGAGCACAAAACGTGTGCGTACGCGCACTATTGAAGAGTTGACTTTTGTACCAATTCTAGCCACACAAATGAAGCTTCCTTAGGAAGCCAAATTAGATCAAAACACTCTCTCTCTTTCCCACAAAGTGGCCGGCCATCAGCTGCAAAAATAACCCAAGGAGTTCTTCATTTTTCATCTCTAAATCTTGCAAAAATCATCTCCAATTCCTTCCAAATTTCACACACACTTAGCTTAATACTTGGAGATCATCTTAAGCTACAAAAAGGAGGAGCTTTCCACGGTTTTCTTGAGCTAAGAGAGGGCCAAAATTCTGCCATTGTTCACCAACACAAGTAAGTGATGATCAACCCTCAAATTCTTGGCCTATGGAAGTTGATTTACACTTATGAGCTTAGATATTCATGTGGGTGGCTTGTTATTGTTGGAAAATTTTGAATGTGGGCTCTATGAACTCCCACTCTTGGATTGATGGCTGATGTGATGCTTGATGATGGATTTAATGTTGGTTTAGTGCTCAAATTGGTAGATTAATGGTGCATAGCTAGTATAAACTTCAAGGAGTACATGGATGTAAAGTTTCCAATTCTGCCCCTGTTATGATCGTGCCTCTTTTTGCAGAATTTTGAGGTTTTAATGGCTTGTATATGATGTTTATATGTTGTATAAATGGTATAAATGGTGTACAAAGTTTCATCAAAAAATATTGAGGTTTGGTTGGTCAAATGGATTAATCTCGCAAAGCTAGCAAACCTGGAAAAATTTCCTCGTAATGCTCAGACAGCCTTCTTGTTTCGTTCATAACTCTGTGCTTCGATGTCGAAATCAAGTGCCATCAGTGGCATTTGAAACTAGACATTCCCAGATTTCCAAGGTATAAAATGCATCCCCTAATTTCACCCAAGTATCCCGTATCAACCGTTTAAAGATGACTGCCCTGTTTCTCTGTTTTCCTGGAATGAAGTTCAGAAGCTGCAACTTGAGGCTCGAATTTGAGCTAGTTGTGTGCCGAATTTCAAAACAATTTCTTCTGTGAAATTATAGTTTCATAAATTTATTTTCCAACTCCACCAACCATGCTCAATTCCGAGTTGAATTGAGTGATTTGTAATCAAAATACGAAACCTGCCATGTTCTTGAAAACCCTAAATTTTGGGCAGAATTGATGCTAGACTTGGTGTGGACTTGCCAATTGAATTTCTTGGAATTAAAACACTTACCAAATGTACCATGAATATTCCTTAGGTTTTTCCTACACGAATGAACCATGTTTGAAGGATTTTCCTTGGCCAAATGTTTGGAAATGGAAAACGAAAAGCTCAAGGCAGTTTTGCCTTAAGATTTTTTGAAACTTTGGTTGTTTGGTTGATTACCTTCCCGAAGGTATTTTTCCATGAAATTTGGTAGAGGGATACCTTTTATACAGAGGTATTATATTACCAAATTTGGTACCAATCCAAGTCCATTTCACTGCTCGACTAAATTACCAAAGTTCATGACTTGAGTTTGGAAAATCCTTGTTTCACAAGGGAATTTTGGTAACTTTGAGTTGCCATATCTTAGCGTTCAAAACTCCGTTTCTTGTTCCTCTTGTTTTGTTGTAAACTTGGATTGCAACTCTAATAGAGTTCCAAATTTCAAAGGCTAGTTCCAATCAAGTGAATTTTGCCGAATTTTCAAAGTTGGCCAAAAACCAACTTAAATCTGCCTTATGAACCAAAACAGTGACTTTCAGCTCATTTTTGAATGTTTTCCATTTGGAATCTTGGAAAAGTACATTCTAGGAACTTTTAGTACCTTGGAAGAGGTTTCCAATGGTACCAAGTTTTCTAATTTTCGACATGTGGAATGTGAGATACGATTTTTCAAAATATCATATCAAAACTGAAATTTTCCGAATTTCAAGGAAATGGAGTTTTTCAAGTATTCCTTATTCCTTCGATAGTACTTGAACCTTTATGCTTGATTTTCAAGATAAAAAAAAAACTCGATTGCTCTTGTACTTTAAGAAACTCCACTTTAACCTCGATTTACGAGTAATTGATATTCATTTTCATGAAATTTCCCTAGATTGTACTAGTGCACAATCTTCCTTGATAATTGGGATATGTGAATGATAATTCACTATTATTTA